CTAAAATGGAAATTTTAAAGTGGAAATTTTACCCTAAAATGCCAAGGACTCTCTGTTGATTACTGAAGTACATCTCTCACCCTCTTCTCTGGCTTTCCTCTCTGCTTCTTCTTTCTTCAACTTCTCCTTCTCTGCTTTTGAGAGTTTTGCACTCTTCTTTCCCTTAGCAGGCGGTTTAGGAGGCTTTTTGTATAAAGGATTCAATAAAACAGTTAAAAAGCAATTCACTGATTTGATCACCAATTTATGGGTGTTTGAGAGTCAGAAAATTAAGAGTCACAACTGGATAATCAACTTAAATTTATGCAAGTTCATCATAAATATTAGGCAATGAAGATTTGAACTCAATTCTCTTACTCTAATATGTGATCAAAGAATAACTTCTCCTCAAATGCAGATAAATGTGAACAATGTCAAGCAGACCGGGGGAAAATCGACAAAAATTAAAAATATATATATATCAAATTGGGGCAAAAAATCTCACGAACATTGTCGCAAATTTATGGTGATAAGGGCGACAGTTAAGATACTGAATCTCACTGAATTTTAGGAGAGAAAGGGGTTACGCCACTTTGATTTGTTACAGCTGACATGTTGCTGACATGTAGGATCTATAACATTAACTGCATGAGCTGGGCCGTCTGAATCGGCAGCAGGTCACATTCAGCATCTCAATTAGTTGGAGCATAATGTATAATATAATTCTAAAGCTTAGCAATGCATTGCATTTCAGCTTGTCAACTAATAATCAAGTGAATTGTCTACAAAAAATGCAATCTATATGCAATGTACATGATCGAATTATTTCGCATTGCAAACGTCAGAACCTATCTTAGTCCTACGCAGGGTACTGGAACAGTCAAATTATCCTGAGGAAGTGCTAAAATTAACATTTCTTGGAAAAAAATGGGCTTAAAGGAGGATAATTTTCTCACCATCTTCCCGCCGTTCGGGTATGTTTTCAATTTCGGTGCTTGGTTACACGGATCCTAGTGCTCAGTCTCCATTCGGCTCTTTGGAGACTGAAAAAACAATCATGGCGAAAGGTGAAGGAGTCGTTAAGAGCGACGAATCTTCTCCAGATCTTGATCAGTATGCCAAGGAAGCACTTGATGAGATATTTGGAAAGGAAGAGCAGTCTTACGATGAATTTGTGCAGAGTTTTATGTTCCTAAATAAGGGTGAGTGACAAAAAAGTTCTAATTCAAACTGTGACAGCTTGAAATAGGTACGGCCTAGCTGTTAGAGAAACAAATAGATCCTTTCTGGAGATCAAACAAGCTCATCAACTTCTGGGTTAATTTGCTTGATAAAGTTTTTAAGTTGCCTTCATCAGGTGCTGGCTCAACTAAAATTATTTCCTTGAACGAATGTACCTTTTACAGATGATATTTCTGGATCAAAAATTGGCAGTTCTCAAGGGAATACCCACGATCTCCAAAATGGTGCGTCCGGTCACAACAAGATGGCAAAGCGTAATGTCGACGACCACAACTCAATGGAAACAAAGGGCCAGTGGACAGAGAGTGACAGCATACCCGAGGAAGTAAGTTCATACTTCCCAAAATGGGAAATAATCAGTTCTGAAAGACAAACGCTCTTTTGAATTAATGGAGTTTTGGGGGAATGAGGCACTTGTCTCAGCTTCAGGGACAGGGGTACTGACATGGACAAGTCTCTTTGAAGATCTGTTATTTCTTGAAACAATTTACACAGTTTTTTAATTTTTCATTTTTTCTCAATGACCCATCTGAACAGAGACCTGATAAGAAAACTTTTACTGATACTCAATTAAACAGTTACTCTTGATTTTGAACCTGTAGGTACTAGGGCCTGGTTCAACATCGGTTCCATTTCTCATGAGAACACCTGAGTCATCAGGTGGAAAAATCCTCCAGGTAATTGTGTGTTTCATTGGTTGATGTGTGTTACATTGGTTCATATATGTTACCCTCATATAGAGCTGAGTCTATTTGCAATTAACTTAGAGCTTGGAAGATGACATTTAAAATTTACTGTAATAATCTTTGGTTTAATGCTACCAATAAATCTGCACCAATTTTTCAAGTGTATCCTTGGAATTAGATCATTACAAATGCAGACCCTGCTATTTTGGTACTTTGCAAATCAGTTATTTCCAGAAATAGGTTTACCATACGTTTTTTCATCCTTCACATTTCAATCTGCACTGGCTTAATTCAGATCCTAGCATGATAACACAGTAGAGCTACAGCAGTGCATGTAAATCCAGTTTCAATCCCATGCTACCAGTAAACTGTTGTGTCACAGTCCACTCTCTTTTGGTCCATACAAAAATAATGAGCTGACTTTGCAAAATTCTTCTCATTTTTAAGTTGCAGTTGTTGAAAGAAAGATCCAACATGTAGTCCAGTAGGCAACAGCTCAGAATAATAAAGTTAAAATTATTGAGTCTTTGTTTTTTGTTCTTGTCGCAGGTTGATAACTTTGTTGAATGTGAAGATGAGGAGAGTGAGGATGAAGAGTCCATTTCAAATGTTGACTCCGTGTTGGAGGATGGCATATTCACATCTGGTTATTCTCCCTCAGCAGTGACTAGCTCAAATTCTTTGAAGCATGTAGAAGATACGAACTCAGCTGCAAGAGATATGCCAGCTAACGTTGATTTAGGCATTGAAGCAACTAAAGAAATATATTATCTCCCAGGTAATGGATAAAATATACACATTTTTTGGGGAGCCTTCATTTATGTCAGTTTTATAAAACCAGATAACCTCTGGTAACTGACTTTAGTTCTTTGTGATAAACTGAATTCCTTCTGGGATGGGTTTAAGAGGAGGTAGATGCAGGGATCAGGATGTTGCATTTCTTGTCAAAGTTGTTATCAGATTCTAGTTCTGTTTATCACTCCATTGTCAATATATGGTCCAAGCCATTGACAGACTGTTGTCTTTACCTGCAGGAGATGCTTCAGTACTTCCTGGGGAAGTTGATGATAGCAAAATGAATGAGGAGCAAGGTAAAGGGACAGAAAATAAGCAGAATGCTATGATTCTGTGTGTTTAATAGAAATAAATTGCTGATTGAAATGATTAAAATTTACTAATCTTCTGTCTTTTACTGATTTTTAGATAACACTTCTGATGGAATTGTGTCACCCAAAATAACACAATTACAGATTTCCACAAGAATAAATAATTGTGACAGAAAGAATGATCAAAGAAGCCCAAGTGAGGTAATGTGTGTTTAAGTTGGTGCTTTTTTTTCAACCAATAAGAAAAAATGTTAAAAAATATTCACTTCAATGAAATAAATTTGCCAGTTGACCTGGAGAAAGGCCCATAATTAACACTTTCACATTTGTCAACTGGAAATTGGTTCATTGTTTTGACTGATTTTCCTAATAATTGTTTCTCAATATCAAGTTTTATGGAATTCTTCTGAATTTCCAGAAATAACGAACCCCATTGAGCCTGCACATGGGTGTTGCATCATGCTTCAATTTATATCATACTGATTGTAGTATTTCAGCTAGATGAATAACCACAACAGGTGTCAAAGCCCAACAGAAACTATACACTGTCATGAATCATCTGTGGATACACCTGGTATTTTTTTAGTAAGAGAGAGATATTTAGCAAAATGGTACTTATGTAGGTCATTTCCCTTTTTCAGGAAGTTGAAGATACTGATGAGGTTCAGCCATTCACTCTGGATACAGACTTTGACTATGATAATGTGACCCTGACACCAAAGTTTAGTTTCCCACCAAAGCAAATACCATAACCTTTCAGAGTGAGAGCAGTCAGAGTTTTAAATGAGAATATTCAGGCTCACTAGTGTAATCTCTATACAAGCATTTGTTCAATCAGAGATTGTCTACAGAGACTATTGGTTTCTTGACACTTAAGAGCACTGACAAAATGCCAGGCAGAAACCTTCAGTGGAAGGTGAAAGAGCAATACTCCAAGTTGCATTATGCCACAGAAAGAGAGATTTCTATGAACAAAATGGGCCAATGAGGCTTGAAAGCTGACTTTACCCTTCTAACGCAAGCATGGGGACCAAGAAGTGTGTGGCACCAGTTTTAGACTCAGCTCTTGAAGAACAAACATTGAAAAACACCTGATGACTGTTTATTTACTTGAAGAAAAATTCCAAGAAATGTTGAAAGGAGATAACAGTGTATATCCTTCTTAGTATATCCTTCTATATATACTTCTCTGGCTAATCTTTATCCTTCCCTCATGCTCCTTCTTAGTGTATCACATCCAAAGTATGCAAGTAAATTGTTCTTTCTCTTTTGAATTTTAATACATTGTTCACCAAACAGGTACAAGAAATAGATAGGCTTTCAAGTACAGAGTGTTATTTTGATCCATCAATAAATGCTCTGAACTTATTCACCAGAAAACATTGAGCAGTGAGAGGGAGAATTGTCACAATCAGTAGGTTTATGGTTTCTCAGGCTTAACCATTCCTTGGCTATCCACAGAACATGGGTTAAGCCCTTCACACTCCAAAAATTCAGCATTGATTCTCTTGTATCACACACCATATTTCAAAAGGATACATGTAGAGTCAAAATTTCTCTTCACAAGAGAAAAGATGGACATGAATCCAAATTTATCTCTGTGAGAAGTTTGAACTTCAACATGGCTACTGATTAAAGGATGCAAACTTAACAATTTTCAAGACTGTTTGCTTTTTACCCAAGTATGCAGTGTTCTAAAGACCTATTTAATTAGAACTTAGAGAAAAATGACTGTTTCAAGTTATTAGACATGCATAGCTTACCAATATCACCATAATACTTTGTCATCAGACATTTCATCCAATTGTACTGACTCTCTCAAAAAGGTCAATATTCTATTTTCTAGATATAGTAACAACATAAGTCTACAATAGTTGGTTTAACAAGCTTTAATGGGTTTTGTACAGAGATATCACAAAGTTGATGTTGATTGTTGCCATTTTAACACAAACTCTGGTATGAAGTATGACAAAGATTTGTGATTTCTTCTACAGTCCCAACTTGGTTCTACGCCAATGACGTCTCTTTGCATTGTATCTGAAATCAAACAATTATAGGATGAGGTTAATAATCTGAATTCTGATCATCACAATGAGAGTGTCCTCCTTGAGTCCAGTGACCAAAAGCTACTAAGATTCATGCTTGTCTTACAAATTTAAAGTGTTAGTGATCATCTACAAAACCAAAAGCTGTTTACCATTAACTCACACTGCAAAAATGTTTCAATAGGTCACTTTATGAATTTGCAGCTGGGCAGACAATAAATTTTATTTGGTAGGAAAAATACTCCGAGTACATAACACACTAGAGATTTCTAAATAACATTATTGTTAAGTTGTTTAGTTTCTTGCTCCACTTTAGTAAGGATACTTCACATGCAAATCAACATAAGTCTTATACACATTCTGCAAAATTTCTTCTCTGATGGTAAGGTATCTTTAGTAGCTTTCATATCGATTGCCTTAAACACCCTCGAAGATTTCTTTACTGTTCCAGCACTGGTTGTTCGAATAAAGATAACGCTATCCACTGGATAAATCGCTACCCGGTGAAAAGTGCTGTACATTTAGTTAACAGTTAGCCGCTGGATGGCACTTTATCCGTCGGATAGTGTTATCCGCCCTTTATACAACTGAGCCCTGATCTTCTGTTTTTTTCCCTGCGCTATCGTACAAATTGTCGTTAAGTTTAGGGAGCTTCTAAAGGACGGATAGTGCTCTCGTACAGTTGAACAGTGACCCACCTGATGGTATTTCCAGTCCTGAGCCTCACCCACTGAGGGATAGGCCTATTCTGTTTCATTTTCTTGCCCAACACTCTCTTAATTTTGAAGCTTTTGTGGGACGGCTAGAGTAAAGAAATTTAGAACAACATAAACTCAACCACGGTACAACATCGTGAAATTGTTACAAAATTAGCACTCTCTTTGGTCATCTTGCTACAATCGCGAGCGAATCCAGTCAATAATACTTTAATAAATGGATCTAGCGGAAGAAACCCTCTTTGTGTGATTCCAATAAAGTTAAATATGACTCAATACTCACCATTTTGAGGAATAACTAGCTCACTCTTCAAGATGGCGTCAAAGAGGACGAATTAAGTGTGAGGGGACTGGTACCGATCATCACTTTTCCCAAGGATCTTTTCCACCGGAGGGGCGCCATTTTGAACACGATGTCTACCTCCGAAGCAGCAATGCAAAATGCAGAGTTAAGTAGAGCTCACGAAGAGGTCGATGTAGAAAACGGTGCTTCAAATTTGAAGCGGAAGAGAGCGTCTTCCCTCAATGGTCGGTCCCGTCATCAGTGGAAGTTATGGTGAGAGAAATCCCCCTTGAATTAGAACCCTCGGCCTGCAAACCCATTTGTTGTTTTCTTAGGTATGATTGTCATCAAAGTAGATCAGAGAAGCTTTCCATCACTTCAAGTGACCCGTCAGATATTCTTGGCCGTATATTGAACGGGATTCAGTTGTTAGACCTCACAGACCAGTTTGTGGCCAAACCGGCTGAGTCATTTGAGGAACCGGTCGGCCAGTTCTCATGAACCCGTTCTTACTACTTGCGCAGCAACGTACAGAACCGTAACTCGTGCTAGCATAGTTTGAACACTGCCTGTTAGTATGATTCATTGATTCCAGGAAGCGCAATGTTTGCCTGGAGAAAACGACCCTTGCAAACAGACACAAAAAATTAAAAAAAAAAAAACAATAAAACATTACAAAAAGTCGCCAAAGGGGGTACTGTAAGAAAAAGATAGGGTTACCAAAACAGGTGTCCTGATTGGTCGAAAACCTATCATCTATTGCACAGTAAACCCACAAAAGCAATAGACCACACTTTCTATTGGTTTACCACCTATGCCTCTGGCTAACTATATCTAATATCTGTCTTATGTTAGGCTCTTGAGGAATTATACTTATTCACAAGGTTGCCTGACATTGCTTAATGAAATTGTGGAACATGCTGCAAGAGAGAGAGACAGCCTGGGAATAGAAATCTCTGCAAGTCGTCAATTTTTCGGGGAACTCATTAATCTTTTGTGGGGTGATAGAGTCAAGAAAGTCAAAAGAGGTCAAAGAATTGATAGAAAGGCCTATGTGTTGAATTTAACTCGGAAACAAGGACAAACTGTGCAGCCTCCAGACTATGATGTGACAAATGATTTTGAACAGTTGGCTAAAGATGATACATTCATGCTACCAACAGGTTGGTTTAGGGTTGTGGACAATCCTTGTAGAATTTGCTTTATACATCCTGAGCCTTGGGAATTTGGAAACCAGCGGATTTATAAAGAGATTGTGATGGAATTATCTCCTGAGAAAAATGTATCTTACTCTGTCAAGTCTCGTTCATGTGAGCTCCATTTGTCTACCCTGAATATTGAAAGAATTGTCAAAGAGCTAACTGTGCATGAACAAGCTAAGCTTGTATTGGAATTTATAGACACTTCTAAATTATGTCTGGGGTGCAGTCTTTCTGATGATGACTCAAGTGTGTCTCCAATTCTGCATCAAACTGGAGTCCTAAAGTCTTTAAACAACAATGAAGTTCCAATGCAAAATAGAGCTTTTTCTTCAAAGTGTCAGTTGTTTGTCTGTCATGCTGGGAAACCTTGTTCCAAGTGCACTGGTGTCTCTTTGAGTTACAAGAAAAGGAAATGCAGAAGAGAAGCAAGGGAATCCATTCACAAGCATTGCAACAAAAGATATCTCACAAAAGATGAAATACTCCAACAGTTGCAAGAGCAGAGAAAATTGAATAGGAAGCATGATCAAGAAAAAGAAGGTGATCAATATTCAGGAAGTGAGGATGAAAAAAGCAATTCAAATAGTGATTCTGGAAATGAAGAGGAGAAAGAGTAACTTGAAATATTAAAATAAGACTAACCATTTTGAACTTCTTCTGACGATCATTGTAAATGTTTTTGTTTGGGTTGGAAAAGTGTTACACATGTAATGATTTTCATTTTGTTTGCTGCCATTTTGGATTAGGATGATTGAGGAGGCCTAGATGGAATCCTCAAAAGCCAATGAGGAGGTGATAGAAAAAAGGTTATTTTGACTTAATTGGCAGCAAAAGTTGCTAATTTGGTATCTTATATACATTGATGTAGAATAAAGTCTCTTATTACAAATCTGCGATAACAACTGGAATGGTCCAATACCAGCAGGAGCATCTTACCATTTGACTTTTGACTGTGGGTGTGAATACTTGCCTTGAGATTAGTTAAAAAGCAGTTTGTCAGCAAGGAACTTGTTTCTTTGAAAAACTGGTTCATGAATAATTGTGATTCCACAAAACTGATTACAGTGAAACAACTACAACAACAACAAGCATTGTAATTTTGATATGTGAGGGCTTCTTGATCATGATACTAATGAACTTTTACAAAATCCAATAGTACTCCCATAAGGCACTGCATTTTGTGTTCAATTATAAGTATTTTTTTTAATTGTAATCATGTGTAGTAGAAACAACACAGGTGTCTTTCACCAGCGAGGATCATTGCTTTACTTGGTTTTCATACACAGGTCCACCTGAATTCATTTCATTGAAGTTATGATTAGATCCTTCCACGGGGAAACAAGGTCCCTCTAAAAGGTGCCCAGCTCTGCCCAACTAGTAACAGTATCTGGGGAGCATGGGTTCCAATCCGATTCAAGCCTGGATTTTATTCCAGGCCTTTTCTGCAATCGCTCAATGTCAGCTCTTCTAAATGTATTATTGCTTTACTTGCAAAACATTGTTGTTTAAAAGTCAGAACCTACTTAAACAACTAGACACTATGACGAAAAAGCAAATGAGATTTCCCTAAGTAAGAATAAGAACTTCGATTTTTAGAGGCGGTGTGACACATGCAAAATGTTTTAAATTCGAATTTTTGCTCAGACAAGTAAAGTCAGTTTCTCTGCAAATAGGTCGAGTTTATTTCCAAAGTAAAAAATCGTATTAATATCGACGGAAAGTCTCGTGAGTGAGAGATGTCTCCGTCTCATTGAGCTGCTATATCAATATTAAAAGGCGCCATCTGATTTCGTGCGCTTCCGGCGGATTTTGGACAGATCGGACCGAATTTGAGCACTTCCACCCGGATTCGAACTCTTTCGTCAGCTTTCGGACACTTACGTCTGTTTTTGGACGATTCCGAACGATTTCGAAGCTCTAATCCGATTTCGGACGCTATTATTCGACTTTAGACACTTGTCCAATTTAAGAAGTCATCGTGTGCTTTTAGAGTCTTCTGTTTGATTTGAACGCTTTCGTCCGTTTTAGGACACTCCCCCTGATTTCAGAGAATCCATTTTTGTTTTGAACGCAAAAAAGGGAAAAATCTTGGGATATATTAAACTTCACATGGCAACCAGGTGGACAATCAGACGTGGTTTGATGCTACTCTGGTTTACGAAGGCACTAGATGAAGGCACTAGAAAGAAGTGTCGAAACGTTGGGTCTATGAATTGTAACTTTTTCGGCTATATTCGTTAAATCTGTAAACCAGAGTAGCATCAAACCATGTCTGAGCACAAAATTTTGTTTAGCGTACTAAATCAGTCGGGATCACATAAAGACAATAATTTTATATCAATGACCCCAACGACGTCAGTACGTTCGCGTGACGCCCTTAAGAGAAGCTTGCGCTTCTCCCTCTCCGCTAAAAAGAAACAGAGAGAGAGAGCTTGCGGTAGAGACAATATTCTTTGCGTTTTTCAGACGAGCGGAAGTTAGCCCGAGGCAAGAACGGAGGGCGATTTACGCGCGTGAAAAATGATGTCTGTACGCGCGCAAAATTATTCCTACTGTTCCGGAGATCATATATGAACGCGGCTGTCCCGTCGACAAGAGGTCACATCGTGGTTTTCTTTGGTCGAATAAATCACTGAGAAGTTTTATCTGAGGAACCTAAGCCTCTCTTTACAACATGATTCACTTTCCAGTACCATGTACACGAAAGATTAATTCTTTATTAACAAACAAATAATGTTGGAAATTAAGTGAAATTGACCCGCTGGTAGTCTGAGCAAATCTAGCTAGGCGGGCACGTCGTAATTGATATATATATAATTCGTCAATGAAATACATTCCAAGTAAATCAATCACACGAAAAATAAAATGAATATAAGCTCATTGACAAGCCACTAACTTAGTTGTAGACTAGAACGACTCGTCTTCTACAAAGTGCCTAACATGTGCTCATTTTCCTTGAAGGGGAGACCCTTCTCACGACGCTAGATAGTCAAATAATCTAGTGCAGCATCTCTTTATAAGTTTCTACTGTCCAGCTTTTTTCGGTTGAGTAATATAACAGTTTTTTCCGTAAAATAAGAATTTTTTTTTAAAAGCAAGAATCTCCACAGGTTCCTTGTGTTATTCAGTCCTCTAACTATTTCTGTAGAAACTTCGGCTTAATAAGGAACATCACAACAAAATGTTCCCATCACCTTTTACTATTCTAGTGCGCTCAAAAATTCGAAGTTTCAACGTTCTCTTCCCCCTCCCGGGCAACCCAACAGTGTTTGATTATCATCTGTGCCCGGAGTGGTGCATTTGAAGGACTCTTAAGGTAATAAGTGTGCTTTCGTGAGCGAACGGCTTAGAAAGACAATTCACATCGCAAAATGATACTTACAAACGAAAAAACCTAACAGTAACACCAAAAACTTATCCTTGGTAAAACTAATCTATTCGTTGATCTCGCAAAGAATCGTTGAAAAGTGGTTGGGGCATTTGAACGCAATCTTGACCAGGTGGAATGGGGTTGCAGGAATTTGAGCCTAGGAGGTTCCTAGGGGGGTGAATGTTGAAGCTTCGAATTGATCGACGCATAATATTTCAAAATGTTGAACCAGGGATGTGCAAAAGCGAAAAATAAAGTGCTAGTTAAAGGAAAGAGAGAGGAGCCTTAGCTTCTTCCTATGCAGTTTTGGTGCGCACCGTGGAAAGGATTGCAGGGGCACCCGATAACAGCCATACTGAGGAGCAATGAAAAATTTCATTTTCAAACTATTTTGAAGAAAGGTTCCAGGTGCCTAACGGATCTCTTTTTGTGATTTATGAAAATTTCAACAATTTCCATAACCACCTCTATAGCACGGGCTAAAGGTGATTTATCAATGATATTTGAGTTAACAGCGTTAGTGGATGAAATATTGTTAACTGATATGATAAAATCAATCCAGAACAAAAATTGCCGTCCGGTATATAGGTGTGATTGTTTCAGATTTTCATTTCTCGTGGTGGACAGAGCAACTGTCCATCACCTTTGTCTTTTTCTCCAATCTCATACAAAAACTTCCATGAACTGACAAGTAGTTTTCAACTACCGTCCTCGTCAGATAATGTTAAACTTTTGTTCGTGATAAATGCATCCAACAGGAATGTCACGCTTACCAGGGCCGCTTTCTCCACATTTCAACACAGGTTCACTATCTGTTGTGAAGACCTGGATTCTATAGCTAAAAAGTCAGGTACAACAACATGCCCTTCATCATTTATACAAATATCTCCGGGATTATCAAACTCGCCGTTTCCTTCTCCATTCTTTCCAAAGCTTTTCACAAAGTTTCCTGTCTGTAAATTAAATTGTTGAATGCGGTAATTCATTTCATTTGCTATCAGAATTTCGTCATAGTTCAGGAATGTGACTCCAGTCGGATTAAAGAATTGTCCAGGACCCTCTCCAAGACAGCCAAGTTTTCGTCCAAAGGAGTTTCGGTGCTCTTGGTTGAGAGGATCACGGGCGCACCTGCTTGCATCCATAATGACGGCCAGAGTTCATTTTCAATATTTTTGAAGATAGGTTGCATTACGAATCTTTTTAAACAACTTGTAAACATTCCAGCAAATTCACTACTCATTGATACAGTTCGGTCTAACCACGGCTTATCAATGATTTGAGAAATACAGATGGGTGAATTGAATATTTTTCATTAATATATCAAAAATTCAGAGAAAAAATTGCTGTTCGGTACATAAAAGTGAGAGTTTCAGATTTTCTTCTCATTCCTGTTTACATTTTTCCATTTTCGGAACCATAATATAATCATTCATATTAGGACATATATTTTTTTGGCATTGCCATCGCATACCAAAATGCGACCATCTGGAGTTACGGCTATTGCAACTGGATGTTTTAACTTCTCGAAAGTTTTACCAGTAAAGCGACCTTCCATCGTAAACTGTTGAATGCGACCATTCCATTTATCACATACCAGGAGATTCGAATGATCGCCACGTTTCTCAACACACAAATCCCAAGGGAATGACAGCTGTCCATCACCTTTGCCTTTTTCTCCAATCTCATACAAAAACTTCCCCGTACTGTCGAGTACTTTTAAACAACCGCCCAAGCCATCAGATAGTATCAACTTTTGTTTATGATAAATGCATGCAGTAGGAGCAGTGAACTTACCAGGGCCGCTTTCTCCAAATTTCGGCACAGGTTTACCATCTGTTGTAAAGACCTGGACTCTTCTGTTTGAAGAGTCAACTACAGCAATATTTCCTTCATCATTTATACAAATGTTTACGGGACGATTAAACTCGCCGTCTCCTTCTCCATATTTTCCAAAGCTTTTCACAAAGTTCCCGGTTTGTACATTAAATTGTTGAATGCGGTGATTCAATTCATCTGCTACCAGAATTTCGTTATCATTCAGGTATGTGACTCCAGTTGGATTAAAGAACTGTCCAGGACCCTCTCCACGACAGCCAAGTTTTCGTACAAAACTACCTTCTTTATCGAATATCAGGATACAATGTTTTCCGCTGTCAGTTACTGCGATTAGTCCTTTACTGTTCACAGCGATCCCATGTGGCCTTTGGAGAATTTCCCCTTTCAATTGCAACTCGCCCAGAATGTCAATCCGTCGTTCTTTCACTTGAACTGTAAATGGATTTTCAACAAGTTTGTCTCCATTTATCTTCACTGTGATATTGTAGGGGCCTGGTATTTTGGGGACAAACTTTACCCTAACATTTTCAGTTTCCTTGTGTACGGTAGTCAAGTTAGCCACGTCTATAGAAGGTTCAACAAATGCTTCAACGTGAAATTTTCCTTCAGCTTTGCTTGTGAGTTCCCCATTGTTCTTCAGTTTTGGACAAACCAGAAACTCTGCTTCTAAACCAGCCTGAAAATTTTCAGTGAGCCCTTCAACAGTGGATCCATGTACATCTGTTTCATTGGTTGTCACGAAACCCAGGCTGAAACTGTCAGGTGCAATAGTTGAGACAAACTTGATAAATGAACTGACCGGAAGTGCTGATGGGATCTGGGTTTTTTTTAGATCTTCAAAACGCTGCTCCAAATTCTGCTTGCTTTGCATGATATCTGAAATTGAGCTTCTTTGAACCAGGTTATCAGCGAATTCAACTGCTTGTTCGAGTTGTTTGGCCAAAGACTGTACTTGTTTGGTTAGGGAATTTAATTTGTCCATGATCGACACGCGTGTATTCTCGAGGGTGGTAATGGCTTCTCGCTCGCATTGTCGAATTCTCGCGACCATTTGTTCTGCTGCTTGGCTGACTTCAAATTTAGCACTCTTGATATTACTATCCAGTTTAAAGGCCGCTTCCTCGTATTCACGAATCACATCGTTGCAAACTTCTCTCTTTTCTTTCAACAACTCGGCTGCCGCCACGATGTTGACTTTCGTTTCATCCGCTGCTTTTTCAAGCGGATCAACATCATGACTCTTGTGATCAGTATTTATGCAGATTTGACAAACACAAGCTTTACATTCAAGACAGAAAAACTTCATTAACTTTCTTTCGTGGTAAGGCTGAGAGCAAAAGGATTGTCGCTTCAACAATGTCTCGTAGTCTGCAGGTTGAAACTGTTTGACTGCTGTGACTTTGTATCCTTTTAAGGCAGTTTCTCTAAACAATTCGTGTGCGTTTGCACAATCACGACAAAGCAATTTTTCACAAGCGAAGCAGTAGCTGATCTCAACGCTCTTTTTCTTACAAATAGCGCAGTTTATCTGACTTCCATCGCCACTTTGTCGTACAGCGAGAAGACTCAACAAACTGTTTTGCAGAAAACCAGTCGGCAAATCATCGAAACGATTTCCTTCAGGGATGTTAACTTCCGCTTGACAATCTGGGCATCGAAATTGTCCTTGTCTTTGGGTTTTCAGTGCATGTTCCTCCAAACACTTCAAGCAGTAAGTATGAAGACAAGCTATGGTCTTCGGTTTGGTTAAATTATCCAAACAAATCGAACAAGTGACATATTTTTCGAGATTCCTCAAAAGCGACTCCATGGCAAACGTAGGTTACGAAATGACGACGAAATGGAACATACCTTTAGTCAGAAGAGGTATTTTGTATATCACATATTTCGTTAATCTGTGTACCGCAGCCAGCCCTGACCCCCGGAAGCTAGCGTTTTACCTTGGGGGGGGGGAGGGTACGGCTTCACGTAGGAACTAAGTAGATTAAATATCTTTATCAGTGATGGCCGGACCAATTTCTAAAGTCGGACACTTGGAACAAAGACTGGTCATGTCAGAAAACGACATTTCAATCTTAGGATGTTTAATTACAAGAGTAAATCAATAGGTAATTTGAAATGCAAGAGGTTATAGAAGTTTAGAATTCCCCGCACTGCAGTAAATCAAATTTCCGTAGTCGCGAAATTTGTGCTGAAGCGAAACCCTGTTTTAAGTGCCATTCAGGAGCTGAACTGATATAATCTCAACATAATTGTATGCAATTTGTCATGGTGCCCATAACCATAGATAGATGTAGAGCATTCTACAAAATTATTTAATATATCGCAGATAACGTTCAAAATTACTGAAAGAGTTGCTCAAAATTTTTCCGAAGTTCCTCTGATGTAGATAAAATTACAATCTCAGTCATAGTTTGGTCCACAATAAGAGGATTCAAAATCATCTTCTCCAAATTAATGATGATATCAAAGAGACAAATTATTTTTAGGCAGAATAGGTTAGACGTCGCAAGCTTTTCAAGGAAACTACCGATCTTGTTCCCTTTCTGGGTGTTGGGTTACCTTCTGTGACGTTCAGTCTATGAGTTGTCCACCCAGCCCACCCCGTTGGGTACTACTCGTGAAACGCACGCAAGCGTGTCACGTGACTAGTAAATTAATAACGGAAAAATGTCGCTACGCGTAAGCTTGGAAATATGAAAATGTTCGTCGTTTCGTAGACAACTTTCACGGGTTAAAGCTTTGTATTTCCCGGTTTTTGTAGGACGATATCTAGGTCAGTAAATCCAGTGGTAAATCTGAAAGGAAAAAGTGATGGTTATGAACAACGAATCGCAAAAAACAGGATCGCCAACGCAAGCACGACAACTTGCCGAAAGCGACGACATTGCAAGTAGTTTAGTGTTGGACTCTATGCTTGGCTTTACCACTCACAAAATGGCAGCACGATTTCGGCCTCTTAAAGTCGATCAAGAAGTGGTGAAGAAGGCGCTTGAAAGATATCGTCAGGATTGGGATTTGGAACAAGCCTACAACGAAATCGTCTTCAACGCCGGGGATTGGGGAAGATGTTACTTCATCACTAAATCTAAACCTCAAATTGCGGCTTTCAAAGAACATGTAAGTGGAAGAGACTTTTAATCAAAGTAGCATATTAAAACCGTCAAATTCGCTTTAGATTTGGATGTTTTAAGGAGTGTAAGACACTGAGAACAACTGTCAAACTTGCAATGCGCTCTTCGCATTCAATCTTCCTGTCTAAGCGCGTGTTCGTCATTGTGCGACGATCTTTGGTCAAAAGTTTTGTGCGTTCCTAATTAATTTATGCGAAATCGGTTCTACAGATTATTTCAAGGCTCAGCGTAGATTTTTTAACTGTCTTTATACATATATTTTTGTAGTTTTATATTCGTCCTCTCCCTTTCTCAAGTATGTTTTTCTGAATTTTAAGAATTTCGCTTTCCACATCCCTCCCACTTCCGTAGCCATAATGGTAGTTGGGATTAGTTTAATGACGTAATAATTTCGCTGTGATGCAGATCGACGGTTCACCATTTGCCAATTACTTCCTTTTAGGGCAGTACATTGTGTTCGATATCTAAGCTTTAATACCTCTGCCAAATTTTCATAGTGAGAAAATGTTGGGATAAATTTTTGTACAGTATACACCTGACATGTCCAACAAAAGTGTTAAGATGTAGATTGCACCTTGAAGTTGTTTTGCTTAAATTTCTCTGTAGAACTCCAGGCTTGCGGTCCAAGTAATCTTAGCATCAGTTATTTGAATCTTTGTTCTCCAAATGGATTGATAAATAGCACAGTGCCATGGAGAGTACATTGATGATCTGGCAGCATGCAATATTAATCTATTTGCCACCCAATGAACACTTTACCAACGGTGTAACTGATATGAATTTGAAAAGCATAGAATCAGCCATTTCTCTCCTTCTTTGTGTTTTTTTCAACTACAAATTGTTTTGACTTGGCTGTTTGTTATAAGATGAACAAGCCATGTCTTTTTGCATCAAGGAGTCCCTTGGCATGTACACAGATTAAGACATTAAGTAACTTAAACTTCTGTCATCTTCAATTATCATGTTTGATGGTATGATCAGCAAATGTTTGCTGTCAAGCTGAAGAGGACTCTTTCAGAGTGTTTAGAAAGCACTGGAGATTGAGAAATTCTCAAGCTACATTGTTTTGAATTCTCTGAATAAATTTAAATGACATTAGTCATTTTTTTTATTCACATGTGTACCACATTATTTATTTTACTGTAACTAACTTTAAATCCTAAAATAGTTTCCATGCTCTTCTCTATTTGCATTTTGATTAATTGTTATTTAACTCCATTAGAAATATTTTTTAAGCATTTCTTTGCATCCTTCCTATTTTCTTTAATTTTTCGTCAGAAATTCCCTTATGGTTTACTTGTAGGTCTTCAGATACATTGGGATATTCAATAAAAATTCTGGTTACAAAGTTGTGCCTTGCAGTCGTTATTCAGGAGAAGATAATGGAGCAAAAGTGGTGGCTACTTGTGAATGGTAAGTAAGATTCAGTACAGGAGGAGAAGGTTATGATTAAATCTTTTCTAATTGTTTACAAAATGTTATTGGAGAATTCCAGAAGCTCTTTCATGGAATTTTGTTCTTAAGGCTTATGCTGTCTTGTGCAGGCTTTGAGCAACCACATACAATTTATGTTACAGTAATGAATATTTTGGTGGGATTTTTGTCTAAGATAAATGTCAAACGTCAAATTTATTTCATTTGACAAACATGGTGTAATACTTGAAAGAGATGGCTGGCTCAAATTATCTCAAGGTTAACATCATTTCCATGAATCCCTCAAAGTTTTTTACTGTCAGGATGTAGATGTTATTCTTGAAACAGCAGCTGTTAGAATTTTCCCACCACACCCTAAAATCAGTAATATGTAAGTTCTTCATACTGTTGTCTAACATTCCCTATGGTACTTTCAAGGAGAAACCACCATTATTTGTCTAACAAAAAGAGCCTTTTATCAGTTTGTGATCATTTCCTTTATTCTCATGACCTTAATGTTTGATTCAGGGGTGATATTCATGGGAGAAATTTAATGCTTATCATGCTAAGAGTTAGAAGCGTTAAGGTTGGGGGTCATTATTCTTTGCTGATCAATTTCTTCATTCTCATGACCGTTATTCATGATCATGTGCAATTTGTTTGTGGAGATATTTGATGCTGTGATCATTCTTGGTGCTTAAAAGATTTCAATTTCTCCCCAGGAATAAAGGTGACAAGCTGCCTTATCTGTGTGGATGCATTGCAGAAATGAATGAGGAGGAGGAAAAGAAGTTACTCCGCCCAGGAGAGAATGACTTCAGTATCATGTTCTCCTGTAGGAAAAATCTATCACAGCTTTGGCTTGGTCCTGCAGCCTACATTAACCATGGTAAAAACATATTTGTAAATTATAAGACAGTTTACAAATCCTGGCATTAAAATGTAGTCAAATTTAGCTATTAATTCAACCTGTGTGAGAAGCATATGGTATCTGTCATAGCAGTGTTGAAAAACTCAGCTATTTGCAGCTACACGACCAGTAAAGTACTGCACAGTGATGTGCTTTTTATCCTTGACCTCTGTTTTGTACAATGTGCATAACAGGTGTTGGAATTAAAATATGGTGCATTTTAAGTGCTGCATTTTAAATTTCATTTTAAGTGACTCAAGGAAATGTGCTAGGACTGGTTCTTCATTTTTGTGCCCTTTCTTTTTTTGGCCTGCACCTAAAGAAAACCATTCACACCCTTTCTTTCACTGTAAGGTATTTGCTTACAACAAAGGTTATTTTGTTCACTATGCTGTTGTCATGTGTATTTTAAATTGTAAGAGCAACTGACTGATAAATGGAGTTACGTGTAAATTTCATGTAAATAATGCAACAAGTTTAAGTCTGTAACTTGTGTTTTCTTCTATTGCAGACTGCCGTCCCAATTGCAAGGTGAGCTTCTTTCATGCCTCTGTAGAATAACCCAAAGAACATAATACTATGTTCTGTAACACCATGACAGTAAACTTTTAAATTTACAAAACTTTTACTGAACTTCTGGGAGTATATTAAGAATTTTTGTTTTAAACTGAGCTATTTATCATTAGTTAGAAAGTCTAAGAAACAAGACTACCTCGAGTAAAATTCCTTTTCAAAGGACTTCAATTTTTGCACCAATGTGACTCCACTTTAAAAGTTAAATTGTGCTTTTTTTGGTCTAATGCATCATCTTTTTTTTTTTTTTTTTTCCTCTGGTATCAGTTTGTGTCCACTGGTAGAGAAACTGCCTGTGTTAAGGTATTACGAGACCTTGAGCCTGGAGAAGAGATTACTTGTCACTATGGTGATGACTTTTTTGGTGACAAAAACTGTAACTGTGAATGTGTGACGTGTGAGAGGTATTTTGGCATTTTACATGTTTTGCACAATTGTATGTGGGTTATTTAAGTTGATCCCTGGCTAGTTGAAGGGCTCATCTCAGCCACAAGATTGCCCAGTGGTATGTAAGTAGCCACAAGGAAAATTAAGAACAACAGGCTAATTTGTAAGATTGGTCGAAATGGAGGAAGATGAAAACAGAGTGTGACTGGGTTTCTTAAAAAGTTCAAGACAATAGTTTTTCCAGGCTGAATCTTATTAGATCATAAATTAGAGTTCCTTTGGTTTCTGGATGGTGCGATTTCGCTCGAATTTCAAGCTTCATGGCAAACAGTAGAAATTGGACCACCAAGACAGAAATCTTTTAACTTTTACTTGCTGGTCCATCCCAAGGGGCAAATGAGATTTTCTGATAATTCCAAGCTGTTTGTAAAAA